CTTAAAAAATGTCATTGGTGAGCTGTGACGTAAGCCATATAGATCTATGCGTACGCCAAATATGTGTGAGAAGCGGGAAGGGCTGTGAACAATTCCTTTTTCCGCGTTAAGGAGATAATATGTGTTGTAAGTTATATACATTAATGAAGGAAAGTTGTTAAAATCTAGCCTCAATTGTTGAGTAAAAATTTGATTTAGTTAAGACACATTGATACAAACTGCTGTGCAAAATGGGAGTGACATTGATTCACCCGTTAAAATATATTTGAGAATAAGGCCGGCCCTATAGTGGCTCTGTAGGTCTGACCTGTAGCTCGCCTGGCGCACACCGTGTGCGTGTCAGCACAGACGCACTGTGGATTGGCGCCTGTGCCTCAGTGAGTGCGAGGCACACTCGCTGCGTCTCAGCACAGCCGCACTGTGTGTTGACGTGTGTAACTGGCGGGTCTGCCATGCTATATTAGGTACTGTGTAATCCAAGACCAATTATACCAAGACGGGACAACTCTTCTTTACGTCATGTGCCAAGTGCAGCCCCCCACATACACACAAACACACTTGCAGCTGCGCGCGGCTATAGTTTACATAGGTAATGCAAGGCTAGATCTAGGCCTAGGCCTACGACAACAATCGAAACTAAGTCAACCTCTCGATTCGAAGTTTCAAATTATGATAAAGTGCATTTCTGGGTGATTTTGTGGCCAAGTGTTGATGTTAGCATCAATATTTAATAGTAAAGCACCTAATAATACTTACTTCTTGTTGATTTTGAAGATCTGCGAAGAGTTTCAGTCGAAAATAAACACGCATCGCGCAGCTCTGCTGACAAAAAAAACAGACGACACAGCTACGCTGCTTTCGCACCCAATTATGTTTACATTTATTTGCACGGTGCGAGCCAGGCCACCTACAGGTCAGCCCTACAGAGTCAGTCTGGGACCGGCCTAAGTTGCACCACAGACTCTCAACCTGTGGATCTGACACAGACAGAGTATTCACTGAAGAGGACAAGACAATAACCTTCTCCCCAGACACTCACTTGTCATTTTGATCTCAGAACCGTGTTGTTGTTGTTGTTGTTATTGCTGCTGCTGCTGCTGCTGCTGCTGTTGTTGTTGTTGTTGTTGTTGTTGTTGTTGTTGTTGTTGTTGTTGTTGTTGTTGTTGTTGTTATTGT